TCCTGTCTTATCCTCTTTCAGTCACTCAGATTACAGGTGTGCACACCATCATGCCTGGTTGGGCACTGCTTTTTTTTTTTTTTTTAATATTTTTTAGTTGTTGATGGACCTTTATTTTATTTATTTATATGTGGTGCTGAGAATCGACCCCAGTGCCTCACACATGCTAGGCAAGCGCTACTCCACTGAGCCACAACTCCAGCCCCTTGGGCATTGGCTTTAATAGTAGATTTCAGTTTTGTCACTTATCAGTTGGGTGACTTTCAGCAAATTTCTAATTTTGCTGACTACATCTTTTATTAAATGAGATGCTGTATTACAAAATGTCTGTTACTTAGCAGGCACCGGATAGCTGTCAATTCTTCCATTCCTCTGTTCCCTAAATACTGTGAATCTTCTCATCTCCCTTTATGCTTGACACACTCTTATGGAGGAGCTCATCTATTTTTATGTGACTTGACTATTAATCTGTATCACTACACTGAATTCTGTTATATGCTTTAGACAGGAGCAAATGACTACAGGAACCAGATAATTTATTTAAAGCTGAAGTGATGAACATGACTTTCTATAATGATGGAAATGACTTTCTATAATGATGGAAGTGTTCTATAATGATGGAAATGTTCTATATGTGCAGGGTCTACACAGAAGTCATTAGCCTTCTGCTGGTTGGGGTGGTGCATGCTTGTAATTTCAGTGACTTGAGAGGCTGAGACAAGAAGATCTTAATTCAAGGCCAGCCTTACCAATTTAGTGAGACCCTATCTTTTTTTTTTTAAAGAGAGAGAGAGGAGAGAGAGAGAGAGAAATTTTTTTAATATTTATTTTTCAGTTTTTGGTGGACACAACATCTTTATTTTATTTTATGTGGTGCTGAGGATCGAACCCAGTGCCCCATGCATGCCAGGTGAGCACGTTACCACTTGAGCTACATCCCCAGCCCAAGACCCTATCTTAAAATTAAAAAAATAAAATAAAAAAGGGCTCAGTGGTAAAGTGCCCCTGGGTTAAAACTCTAGTACCAAAAATAAATGAATAAGTAAATAAATAAATTTTAAAATAATAATAATAATAAAAAGGAAGTCATTAACCATGTGTGGTTATTGAGCACTAAAAAAGGTGGCTAGTGCAACTAAGCGACTACATTTTCTCCAGATAAACCACCTGTGTTCCCTTCTCTGCCTCTGTACCCCCTCCTCTCACCAGGATGTCTAATGGGTACCTCAAAACTAAAATCGCCTCCAAGTTTTTCAGTCCCACTCCCTCACAATTCCTAACGCAGAGGCACCTACAGCAAGCAGCCCACCAGATCAGTTTTATTGCTTCCATTTAATCACAAAATTATGCTAACTTGTATAGTTTGTCCAAAAGAGCTCTTCACATTTTTTTTTTTTTTTTTGGTCCTAGGGATTGAACTCAAGGGCATTTAACCAATGAGCCACATCCTCAGCCCTTTTTATGTTTTATTTAGGACAGGGTCTTGCTAAATTCATTAGGCCCTTGCTAAACTGCTGAGACTGGCTTTGAACTTATGATCCTCCTGCCTCAGTCTCCTGACCAATCCCAGGGATTATAGGTGTGTGCCACTGTGCCCCCAGCTACTTCACACTTTTTAATTTTTTTTTTCTTTTTCTTTTTGGGTACTGGGGATTGAAGTCAGGGGCACTTGACCACTGAGCCCCATACCCAGCCCTATTTTGTATTTTATTTAGAGACAGGGTGTCATGGAGTTGCTTAGGCCTCACTTTTGCTGAAGCTGGCTTTGAACTCGAGAACCTCCTGCTTCAGCTTCCCGAGCTGCTGGGATTATAGGTGTGTGCCACAGTGCCTGGCTGCTTCACATTTTTAAAAGTTTTTTTTTTTTAATATATATTTTTTAGTTGTAGATAGATACAATATCTTTATCACATTTAAAAAACTTTATTCTTCTTTTAATTATTTTTATGTAGTTCCGATGTTTGAACAGTGCCTCAGACATGCTAGGCAAGTGCTCTACCACTGAGCTACAGCCCCAGCCCCTGCTTCACACTTTTGAATTCACCTAGGCACAATAATACCTGGTGGGAACTTATCATTGGCTGAATTATGGCACAGCTCAAACTGAATCTATGCTACTTTTGCCAAATTCAAATACAGGAGGTTGGTTTTAGGTATGCATATCATCAAATGGTAAAAGTAGGCATTTTTGAGTCCTTATAACTGCAAACATTTAAGCAGGCATTTGTCAGTAAAGAAACCCCATGACTTTTCATGGTGATGTCACTTGCAGGTGTCCTGGCTCCCCCAGAAAGCTACTCCGTTTCTTTTAAAGAAAACAGGAAGGGCACTAAGACTTAATAAGTGCCCTTTAGGTACACAGTGTTCACTGCGCTGGGCATGTGGTATGAAATGAGCAATGAAAGCTTACTCGCTCTTTCAGAGCCAACTCCCTAGAGGGGCTGTTACAGGCTTGACCTACACACGGTCCCAGTCACTGGGAACAATTTACTCCCTTTCTTTAAACCACAAATGTTTATCAGTATGTCTTCCCCACTAGTCTTAGTGCTATCCGAAGGATGGGGGCTGTTACATACACTTTTTTTTTTTTTAATGCTGGAATGGAACCCAGGGCACTGTATGTGCTAAGCACACATTTTACCACTGAGCTACATCCCCAGCCTCATACACGTTTAAAAAAAATTTTTTTAAGTTGTTGATGGACATTTATTTCATTTATTTTATTTATTTATATGTGGTGCTGAGGATCGAACCCAGTGCCTCACACATGCTAAGCAAGTGCTCTACCACTGAGCCACAACCCCAGCCCTCATACACATTTTTTTTAAATATCATAGCCTGGGGCCCAGGATGTGGCTCAAGCGGTAACGCATTCACCTGGCATGCGCGGGGCGCTGGGTTCGATCCTCAGCACCACATAAAAATAAAATAAAGATGTTGTGTCCACCGAAAACTAAAAAATAAATATTAAAAAATTCTCTCTCTCTCTTTAAAAAAAAAAAAGCAGAGGGGGAAGCGGTGCCCTTCTGAGTTAAAAACAACTTTAATAAATAAATAAATAAATATCATAGCCTTAGTATCATTCCAGCACATAACAGGTATTTAAGATAAAACTATACCGTACCAGACTTCTTTGTGTGCTGTTCCTCGACAAATTTTTTCTGCTCCTTCTGAAAATCTCCTATAATTGTCTGTTAAAAAGAATACATAAAGAATCAAATTACATTTCTTTCTTTCTTTCTTTTTGGTACTAGGGATTGAACCCAGAGGATCTTTACCACTGAGCCACAACCCAGCCCGTTTTTATTTTGAGAAAGGATCTCACTAGGGCATCTAAATTCCTGAGGTTGGCCTTGAACTTGCTATCCTCTTGCCTCAGCCTCCTGAATCGCTGGGATTACAGGTGTGCACCACTGCACCCGGCTCAAATTACTTTGAAAAGTTTACTACTAGATAACAATTTACATTCAAGATTTTGAAGTCTAATGGAGATATTTTATCCATTTCCTTTGAATAAAAAGGCTAAAAATGCGATACATCTCCATTTCCTCAACAAGAATGGATCCTTCAGTGTTTTTCAATTTTGAGTATAAAACTTCCTTTATGACACATGATCTTTTCAAATTCAAAAATGAAACCCAGGGCTGGGTGGCTCAGTGATGGAGCTCTTGCTAGCACATATGAGGCACTGGGTTCGATCCTCAGCACCACATATAAATAAACAATAAATAAAGTTATAAAAAGTGAAACCCAATTTTAAACAATAAAGGAAGCTGGGCACAGTGGTGCACACCTGTAATCACAGCAGCTTGGGAGGCTGAGGCAGGAGGATCACGAGTTCAAAGCCAGCCTCAGCAAAAAGCGAGGCACTAAGCAACTCGGTGAGACCCTGTCTCTAAATAAAATACAAAACAGGGCTGGGGATGGGGCTCAGTGGTCGAGTGCCCCCGAGTTCAATTCCTGGGACCAAAACCAAAAACAATAAAGGACATGTTGAATCTCATTATCTAATAGAGTATACACAACAAAAACATCTAATAACATATCTAAGTCTGAACTAATGACCTTTTTAGTTCAAATCATTATCAACATAAATGAAATTCCCTAGGCTTGCACATTAACACTGGAAAAAAATGAACAAACTTTCTCCTTAAGAGTCTTAACAGAGTTGTTCCTAATGGGCTTGGACTTTAAAAAACTTAACCAAATTACACAAAGATATAAATAGACCCTGAGATAGCCATAGTTTATAACTAAACTCACAACATGAAAAGTTTACTTATATAATTCAACAGTATAAAGGCATTTCAACTATATTAAAATAAAAACCAAAGCTATTTATAACCAAAGTAATTAATATCTCAGTCACTTACTGTACAGGGAGAAGGAAAAAAAAAACCCAAGAGTCTCAACAATCTAGATTTTTATTAGAATATGATACCCTACTTGCATTTTTAAAAAGTTCCTAAGAGGGGACTGATTGTATTAGCTGTTAATAAATTTCATATACTTCTACTTCCAAAAGATATTTAAGTGTACCTTTTCAATGATGTCATCTATTTTTCCTTCTTCTACAGATCTCTTTATTGTCTGTGCCGTTTCAGCAACTGATTCAGTTATCTTTTTTGTGGCAACACTTGCGAAATTATATAGATAGTCTGTAAAGGATAAAGAGAATCAATGTTTCATTCCAGTATAATGACTACAGGTGTCCCTCGGTATCTGGGAGAGGGTTTGTTCCAGGACCTGCTTGGATATCAAAATCTGTGGATGCTAAAGTCCCTCATATTGTTATAATTATTATTATTTTGGGTACTGAGGATTGAACCCAGGGGTGCTAATAACTGAGCTACATTCCCAGCCCTTCTCTTACATTTAGAGACAGGGTCTCACTGAATTGCTTAGGGCCTTGCCAAGTTGCTGAATTGAACTTACAATCCTCCTGCCTCAGGCTCCTGAGCTGCTAGGATTACACATCATACATATTTTTTTTTCTTTCTTGGTGATACTGGGGGTTGAACCCAGGGCCTTGTGCACGCTAGGCAAGCACTCTACCAACTGAGCTATATCCCCAGCTGCTGCTGGAATTATATATAGTTGGGCACCACATGGCATTCACATGATAACTTATGCACATTCTTCTCCCATATAATTCTGTTATATCTCTAGATTACTTATAATACCTAATACAATATAAATGCTATATAAACAGTTGTTATATTGTTTAGGGAATAATGACAAGAAAAGACTACACATGTTTAGTATAGACACAATTTCAAATATTTCAATCCATGGCTGGTTTAACCAACAGATATGGAACCCATGGATATTATGTTTCTCCCTTAAATAGAGATTTTATAAGAGCCAAGTGCAGTGGTGCATGCCTGTAATCCCAGCATCTTGGGAAGCTGAGACAGGAGGATCACAAGTTTGAGGCCAGCACTAGAAACTTAGTGAGAACCTAAGCAACTTAGCAATACCCTGTTCTCAACATAAAAAATAAGATGGGGGCTGGGGATATAGCTTAGTTGGTAAAGTGCTTGCCTCACATGCACAAGGCCTTGGGTTCAATCCCCAGTACAACACATACACACATAAAAAAGAGATAGGGATATAGCTCAATTGTAAAGCACCCTGGGTTCCACCCTCAGTACAAAAAGAAAAAAAAAAAAGTAGATGCCCCTGAGATGTGTTCCGTTGGCATATTTTGGGGATGGGGACAACACTATCTATAATTCTCTACTGATAACTTGGTGAATGTCTTCTTAGCTAAAGGCCTATCCTAAGCCCCATTAGGGCAGGGATTGAGGCTGTCTGATTCACTACTATATCCCCACTGGGTGACCAGTAAGTACTTGTTGAATGGATGGACCTAATTAATGCTGAATTTTAGAAAGAACATCATTTCTTTAGTTATAACTATTCACTCCTTTGGTTACAAATAGTTTAATGTGCAATGTGGTATGATAAAATGTATAAACAAACAGTCATGCTATTATGTAAAGCTATTCTTTGCAGATAAAGAAACAAAGTTTTGAAAGAAGAGTATTCCTTTTATGGTTTTCTCATAGCTGGGTGAGGTGGTGCATTCCTGTAATCCCAGCAATTTTGGAGGCTGAAGGACGATTGCAAATTCAAGGTCGGCTTCAGCAATTTAGCCAGACCCTGTCTCAAAATAAAAAAGCTGGGGTTGTAGCTCAGTGGTAAAGCACCCCTGGATCCAATCCGTAGTATCAAAAATTTTTTTTTTCCTTCAGAAATCCATTTTGAATTTAAACTGTCATTTTAATCTAAGGGAGAAATTTTAAAAATACCTTTATTTTATTTGTTTATATGTGGTGCTAAGGATTGAACCCAGGGCCTTGCGCGTGCTAGGCAAGTGCTCTACTGCTGAGCCACAACCCCAGCCCCTAAGGGAGAAATTTCATTGAAAAAGTGGTCTTTTAGCATAATAATCTCAATTCTTACATTTTAGTGACTACCTGGGCATTTTACTGATCACACCGAGGCTTGAAAAAGCATAATTCTCACCTTCTAGGAATTTATTAGCCTAAATAAATAAAGGAATCAAAGACAACAAGAGTATTCATTCAACTGGGCAGGCCCAAGACCGCTATCTTTGGAATGGCCTGTGTGTGTGTGTGTGTTTCTAGGGATCAAATCCAGCACCTTGCATGTGTTAGGTAAGTGCTCACTCTACCACTGAGTTATACCTCACCCCCTAAAAGGCCTGCTTTCAAGATTGGCTATTGGCTAGTGTTTGGCAACTTGGATTTCAGTAGGGTTTCTACCACTCCCCAAACTGTGAGAGTGGCTCACTGAACTGTGTGTGAATATTATGGTTCATAGTCAACACCTGCTTTCCTTCTGGAGTCTGGAATTACAGTACATTGTAGACATAGGGTGCCTGTGTGACCTGCCATCCGTAAAAATCCTGGGCACTCATTTTCTAAAGAGCTTCCCTGGTAGAGAACATTTCACATGCATTGTCGCAACTCACTGCTGGACGAATTAAGCATGTCCTGTGACTCCACTGGCTTCCTCTGGACTTTGCCTCATGCACCTTTTCCTTTTGCTAACTTTGCCATCTTCATTGTGATAAATCAGAGCTGTGAGTCCTCCTAACCAATCATTGAACTGAGGTGGTTTTGGGGACTTTGAAGGGCAGAAAATTATTACTTTTACCCACATCTAATTAGAAATTTCTTTTCACTTCTCATATGACACTTTCACCTGTCAATTTTAGGCCTGACATCTCACAAAATGAAAATCATTTCTAAAGCAATGTCCCTAAGATATTTCTTTTTTTGAACTAAACCCCCCAATTCTAAAGGATATTGTGCATAAGCCATGGGATTCAAGCTCATGACCATTTGTACTGTGTATCTGACTCTGTCATCAAAACTGCGGTCACTGGAACTCAATTAGATAGTCTACTTCTACATGAAAGCAGACACATTACTTTTCCTATGTACACACTAATTTTTGGAGTCTTCTTAGTTTCTAAGTCAGGCATCTGGAACTTGAGATGGATTTTCTCTATAGGGAAAAAAAGGGAGGATGCCTTTATTCACAAAGTCCCACTGCAGTAGCAATCCTCAAAAGAGCAATTAGAAGAGGTGGCCAGACCTCTATTCCTGGGCACAGGCTGATCTTATAGGGACTATGCTGAAAAAGCCATAACTTGAAAATATTGGCTACCTTCCCAAGAGTATAAACTGTGTGAATGGGCTGAAGTTGTGGCTCAGTGATAGAGGGTTGCCTAGCATGTGTGAGGAACTGGGTTTGATTCTCAGCACCACATATAAATAAATAAATAAAATATAGGTCCATCAACAACTAAAAAAAAAAAAAAATTAAAAAGCTGTGTGAATGACTCAGATTCTTAAAACTCCCAGAAATACAGGGTATTTTTTTGTTGTTTTGCTTTTATTTAAGAGTCCAGATAATGCTCTGATTTGGTTGACTAACAAACACCAACCGATCTGTAGTAAATAGAAGTTACTTTGGGGCATGGTGCCTTTAAGGGGAAAGGAGAATTTTTTTTTTTTGTATCAGGGATTGAACCCAGGGGCACTTAATCACTGAGCCACATCCTCAGCCCTTTTTATATTTTGTTTAGAGAGAGGGTCTCACTAAGTTGCTTAGGGCCTTGCTAAGTTGCTGAGGCTGGCTCTGAACTCAAGACTCTCCTGCCTCAGCATCCCAAGTCACTGGGTTTACAGGTGTGTGCTACCAGCTGAAAGGAGGAATTCTTGAGTTCCTGTACTGTTCCCTCTTTGAAGACAGTGACCACAGGACATCATAAACTTATGGGGGTGGGAAAGATCCAAGGATCAGGTTTGGTTTTGGGTGAGAGAGAGGAATGTAGCCTGGATGTCCACCATTGGTAACTGGTGAAAGGCCTAAATTCATAAATAGATCACTATCAACAGAAAGCACCTAAGGTCCAGTTGAGGCAGGCACTCAACAAAGGTGTGCAGAACAAAGGAGGTTCCTAGGAGAATCCATGTAGATTTCAAAAAATTAAAGAAACCAATCTACTCACGGGGAATTAGGCTCAGAGATGTTTAATTTCAGTTTTCAAACTATCTGATCATCTGTCTTATTTCTCTCAAAGTTTGTGTATATACCTGACCCTTTACACAGTCCTAGAACCACATAAATTTTAGAAGCAAGAGCTTTCATTTATTCTGAAACTTTCAAATTACAAACAATGTGTGAGTGGGCAGGAACTTCCGTCTAACCCCAGTCTCCTCAAATATCAAAAGAGAACCTGGTGAGGAAAGAAAGATGGCAACATTAGCTCCAAAGTAGTCAACCCTATTAAAACTACATTTTTTCCTCTTTGTGATGCTGGCGATTGACCTCATAACCCATGATGTCATAAATGCTAGGCATGTGCTCCACCCTAAGCCACACCCCCAGCCATCCAGAAGACATTTATTAAAAACTGTTCAGAGGTCTTTATTACTAAATTGAAATATAAGATTTCAAATCAACAGTAAAGCCCTAAGTTTTAAGAAACCAACTTTGATTCTCTCCTTATGACATGAAAATGGTTCTATTTAATCATGTAAATACCTACACGTTATAGTTCACAGTTCATAACTTTATCCCACTTTCATCTATCTCAACCACCTAATAGACCCTCTCTGCTTTAGCTAGGCCTATGTTTCTTGAAGGTTTCTTCAGAATCAGAATCACTACAGCATGCATTTATATTTTTCATGCGTATTGTACTGCCTGTGCCCCCATAACTAAACTGTAAATTCAAAACAGAGAGGTGGCACATGCCTGTAATCCCAGCAGCTCAAGAGGCTGACAGGAGGATTGCTAGTTCAAAGCCAGCCTCAGCATTTTATCGAGGTGCTCAGCAACTCAGAGAGACTCTGTCTCTAAATAAAATACAATATAGGGTTGGGGATATGGGTCAGTGGTCAAGTGCCCCCAAGTTCAATCCCCAATACCGCCCTCTAAAAAAAAAAGCACCACTTTGAAATTAGACAGATTAAAATACCACCTCTACCATTTACTATCAGCATAACTTCAATCCAGTAGCTCAGGCTTGTTCCCCCAAATCACGAGGATGTTAAACCCATTTTGTCCCACCATCCCAGATGTGGATCACCTGTAAAAACTTAAATTGAGAAACAAACATATCACTTATGGTAACTTCAAAATAGTATTTGAACATCTGTGTTCAAAGAATTGAAAACTGGGGACTTAACGGGTTAACAGATGAAATGAGACATGGTTCATAAAACATCTAAGTAATTTGACAATTGACCGCTCTTTTTCCACATCAAGAAAAAGGTCCTCTTGCACTCAAGATGACCAACCAGGACTGAGGAATTCAGGAACTATCTATTTACTTGAGATAACACGTTCTACCCTAAGGGCAAAAAAGCATTTTTTTCCAAGACTTCAGCCCACTGTGGGGTGAATGGGTAAAGGTGAAACGTGACCTGTTGAACAAAGCAGATTATTTGTAAAACCTGAAGACAAATGGGACCAGACCCACTGTGGCCCTGCTGCCAATGATTTAAAAACTTTGCAGAGGGGCTGGGGTT